TGTGCATATATCTGCATCACGTAATCTATGATTTCTTATCATTACGGCCTATTTATGGCAGAATTAATAATGATATTTATGATTTAGCAAATATAATAAAGTCAATGTAACCGACATCACGTATCAACACATTAATCAAAGGTGGTGATAGGCAAACAACTTACGATCAAAATAAGTACATCACCACTGAAGGCAAACATCCCACTCCTACTTCCTCGCTGGATTGACTGCAATTAAATAACAGCAAACATGGAACGTATTAAATGAACACAGACTAGATATGAATGTTCAAGCCTAATCACCAAATCAAGTAAATAACAATGTATTCAATCGAATTGTCGAAATGACTAAATATATTGGTATTATTTATGTTGTTTACATTCAATAACACCTGATCGAAGGTCAACACAACTCGTTAAGACTTGTACTTAGTATTGTTTGATAGTTGTCATTTGATTTACTATGTCAATGAATGTATAAGTAAGTCAGGTCCACTAAGTGCTGTCGAGGTGTTTGTTTGTATACTGCCAGTAATTGGTTACACAGTTGTCAGAAGTATTTTTGTTCCAATCAGGTCTTAGCAAACGAAGCAAATGTACCACATGCTAGTACTAGAAACCATACCAGAGTTAACTTTTGGTGGAACGTCTTGATTTTATAGAAGAATTGTCCCACGATATCCGATATCCGCGTTCACATTCATATCCGAGTAATGTAAGGCCAATGTATGTCTTTCTAGATGGAGCCAAAAATGTCAGAACAATCATTTGGAGTGCGAGATTCGACGCAAATACATTGATTGCTAGATACATTCTGGAAAATATATAGCGATATTCTGTACGCAAATCTTCGATCATAAAACACAATCACACCACAAGATACATGAATACATGAATGGATTAGAAGCGTGTGCTGACCTGCACCACCAATCAATCAACACATCACACAGTAAACCAGGTGAAGTACCCAGCTCAAGTGGATATCAAGCCTACTATTGGAGGCAACTACTAAGGCCAGGGAACTTACGTACGAACTTATGAATGCATTTTTGGGCTATATGGTCCGAGGTCAAGTCATCAGTAGTTTCAAAAACATGCAAAAACAGAATTGATCAGAATATATGGATGAGTAAATAAAGCTTGTCAAAGCATGTTGCCTAGGTAACAACTACATAAGTTTTTTTATATAGTACTCTATCAATGTACACTTACCATGTAAGTGTACCATCGTTTTCAGCATCGAACCCTTCCTGTGAAAAAAGCTACCGTCATAACGTAGGGATACAAATCATGTTCATCAGCTGCATAGGCGGTTATGCCTTACAAATGAATAAATGCTGATGCATTGTATCCGCGCGGACAGGCGAAAGGTGGATCAAGGACCAAAGTAACAGAAAAGATCGTATCAGCTCAGTTAAGACTCGGTCATGCTACCATTCAACTGTCAACTGTCACATAATGCATGAGCAAGGCCAGTAGAGAATGCCCACTTTGAAACACCTTTTGATCACGTATATAAACTTAAATTTCTGGAGGAAGAATGTGCTATATAGACGCTATTAGAACTCAATATTGAGTCACAGACTGTGAGTGTTATGAATATAGAATATTCCTCTCATACTCATAGTTTACTCATAGCTAAAATGAGGTTTTGTTATTTCGTAGGTAGACATTAAATATGAGTGTCCCTACCACCATTGGTATCGCGGACTATGCTATCTTTGGAGGTGTGCTGGTTGTTTCTGTTGGAATTGGTATCTACTATGGGTGTACAGGTAACAAGCAAAACACAACTAAAGAATATCTCCTGGCCAACCGGAGCATGCATTTCTTTCCTGTGTCTGTATCATTGATGGCAAGTTTTATATCGGCCATAACGATTCTCGGCATGCCATCTGAGGTGTTTACTTATGGACTGATGTATGTTACGACAATATTTATGTATTTGATTATTATTCCTGTTGGAGCTCATCTATATTTACCGATATTCTATCGACTGGAATTAACCAGCATATATGAGGTGAGCTTTCTCATTTGATATCTACAAAAGACTCACAGATAAATAAACAAATAAACATACAAAGTTTAATCAATAAATGTTTTATATTTTAGTATTTGGAACTACGTTTCAACAAACCAGCAAGAATAATTGGTACATCCTTCTATATTTTATATAAGGTAATGGCATCTAGCTTTCAGAGTTGACTTTCTTTTAGTAAAATATTCATCTACAACACTCGCTATTGAATTGATGATATACAAATGTCGCATATCAGTACTGAATTAAATACCTTTTTTTGCTGGGTTGATATTTTTAATTAAAATAAATTAAAACATGAGCACATTGCATATTTTCAGAGCTTGTATTTATCCATTGCGGTGTATGCCCCTTCACTTGCATTGAGTGCAGTTTCTGGTATCAATGTTTGGATATCAGTAGTCACAATAGGAACTGTATGTACAATGTATACAACATTGGTGAGTATGGACATATATCCCACTAATAATGATCATCTAACGCAAAAAAAGAAAAACAATATTAAATATCGCAATGTAATAGGTGGTTTTGACCTAAGCAATGCGTTCACATTCATATCTGAGTAAAGTAGGGTCAATGTGAGGTTTGTTTCTCTGCAGGGTGGTATGAAAGCTGTGATTTGGACAGATGTAATTCAAAGCTTGGCAATGTTTACTGGTGTCATCGCTGTTATTATCCAAGGTTGTATTGATCTAGGTGGTATTTCTAATGTTTGGCAAATTGCAGATGACGGTGACAGAATTTACTTCACAGAGTAAGTGCACACATTGCAAATCATATTGTATTTGAGTATGTATCCGTACTTGTATTTTTATCATAAGTTATTCTGTTTTAATGATATTTTCAGTTGGCGATTGGATCCTACCGTGCGACACACAGGATACTCAATACTGATCGGATACACTTTAGGAGTTATACCAACCCTTGGTATAAGTCAAGCAACTGCACAGAGATTTCTAACATGTTCAAGCGTGCGAGAAGGACAGAAGTATGTCTATATTATTAGTATTGTGTCGTTTTATTTACTACATAAGGTTTGAAGTTAATAAATCAATAATTGATCTATTAACTTTCAAACCTTATGTAGTAAAATGTAAAACGAATAGTTGTTTTTATATAATGTACTACCTGTACCGACCTCTATATAATACAATTGTACATTTTGTTCCATATGTGAGGGCGATGTATACAAGTATCCCTATGCTCATGCTGATTGTCATCCTTTCCTGTCTTGCTGGCGTTGTTATGTATGCTACATATGCAGATTGTGACCCCCTTGCAGCAGGCTATGTCACTCAGGGTGACCAGGTAATATGTTAGTTCCGTTAAATTGCCTTCAATCTACCAAACCAGTCAATCGATATCACAGAAGCTGATCAATTTTCTCTTTTTGTAGAGAACTGCATTTTTCATAATGGATACATTTGCCCACTTACCTGGACTTGCCGGCGTGTTCATTGCTGCGGTATTCAGTGGAGCTTTGAGGTATTTGTGTTCATTTTATCACGTGTAGATGTACTTGGCTACACATCTTTTTTGTGTGTGTGTGTATGCTGCAATGTGTTATTTGAGCGACTGATTTCACTAACCGCATTTTGTGATCGAAATGTTGTTCTTTTCTAAATCATACCAATAAAAATCATAATAACAGCATAAACACTTAATTCCAATATTTGTTTATGTCACAACTTACGTTACTTGTTTTCAGTACATTATCTTCTGGACTAAATTCACTGGCTGCTGTTACTCTCGAAGATTTCCTCAAACATTTTCACTACTTCTCCCAATTATCCGATTACAAAACGACATTAGTTTTAAAAGTCACAAGTAAGTATTATATATGTCTTCGTAATACATTGAAACTGCAAAACTGTTACTTGACATAAATTATGTATAAGTGATATTTTCAATATTCAAATACTTTATTTGTTACGCTGTGACTTAATACTAAGTATTCTATATACCACTTAACATTTAGGTACGTTGTATGGATGCCTGGCCATACTTCTTGTATTACTTGTATCTGAAATGGGACTTATCTTGCAATTAGCATTATCTATCGGTAATCTTGTTCTGGCGCCAGTGTTCGGCATGTTTACTTTGGGAATATTTTTCCCCTGGACCAACAGTAAGGTAAGTATGTTCTACAAATAGTGTGTTTTTCTATACCAGTAATATTAATTGTGTAAGGCTACTGGCAAGAATCCTACTCAGAGATATACTATATATTTAAACAATATATATACATATATATATTGAACGCTGTTTTTGCTAATATACGTACAAGTAACAAATCAAAACATATTAGACAATCTCATGATATATAAATAAACTGTAATAACAAGACAAAAAAATAACAGACGTTATGAAAGTGCAGAGAATGTGGTCTTGATATTATTAATCAG